TTAGTACAGAAAAAGAAGTTGATTTAAAAAAACAATCTGGTTCTCTTAAAAAGTTTTTCGAATGTCCCTCTAAAAATACACTTAAACATTCTGATATTATTAACCAACAAGATAATATAATTTCAAAAAAATATTCTAATAAATTAATTGATGTCGCAATACATTCATCGTTTTCAACTCTTCCCTGTTCAGAAAAAGCAAAACACATAATACAAACCAACAAAGCTATTATAAAAAATTATTTACATCATATTAACGATTTTAAAAATATAGCAGCGACCGAAAAAGAAATACATACTTGTTCTACAACAATTTCGTCCACTTTTGATTCAGTTAATGTTTAAGATGAACAACTCTTCATTAGTACCGACCCTGCGAATTGGCCTTTTCTGAATTATAATTTAAAAATTATGATTGTAAAAAGAGGTCCACCTCCTCCATTGGATGATAATTTTGTATTTCCTTTAGATGAAGATATTTATCAATTTACAACATTTAGTTATAAACGATACCTCACTAATGGAGAATGTTTATTAAGGACGTGGCTTGTATTTTCTATATCTAAGAACAAAATTTTTTGTTTTTATTGCAAACTTTTTGCTACTTCAAAAATCAAATTAGCATTAGACGGATACAATGATTAGAGGCATATTGGTCGAACATTAAAAGAACATGAAACATCGAACACATATCTTAATTTTTATAAAACTTATTTAGAACTGGTGACATTATTAAATAATAATAAAACCATAGACGACACTAATCAAAAAATAATAGAATCAAACAATAATACTGGACTAATGTATTGTAGCGAATAATATCGGTTGTAAAAATTCTTGCACAACAAAGTTTAGCATTTCGGGGATCATCATAAAAACTCTATAAACATAATAATAGAAATTTTTTTAAAATTATTGAATTTTTGGCAAAATATGACTAGATTATATCTGACGAATAATAAGACTAATAAGACGAACTTTAAATAATCAATATAACGTGAATTATCTGGGGAAAAATATACAAAATGAAATTATATATTTAATATAAAATTGTATGAAATCAAAGATACTAGAAATTATAAAAGAATCCAAATATTACAGCATAATTTTGGACTGCATTCCTGATGTTAGCCATACTGAACAAATGACCTTAATAGTTCATTTTGTGTTAATTGATTTTGAAAAATAAAGAATCAAAGTTCAAATTCATGAATATTTTCTAGGGTTTATACCAGTAAAAAGTAGTACAAGGATGAGCTTTAGTGATATTCTTATTCAGCAGTTACGTGATTTAGATATACTTAGTCAAAATATGCGATGTCAAGAATATGATAACGAGACTAACCTAAAAGGTAAATACTCTGGAGTACAGCGTCAAATTAGAAACATTAACCCTAGAACTTTTTTTATTCCCTGCAGTGCTCATTCATTTAACCATGTAAATGATGCAGTCAAATCATTAAGAGATGCAATTTCATTTTTTAGTACGATTCAGAAAGTGTATATATTTTTTTCAGCTTTTATTACTCGTTGGCAGGTTTTCTTAAAATATATTACAAATCTCACATTGTACCATTGAGTGAAACAAGATGGGAGAGTAGAATTGACGTCCTTTTTTTTTTTTTTTAATTGATGAAGCCTTTTCGACATCACATATATGATATATATATATATATATATATAATGCTTTATTTGATATAGTTGATAACAATAATTTGGATGCAATGACTAAATATGAAGCTGAATGCCTTTATAAGCATATCAAAAATTTTAAATTCCTTTTTTCTATTATTTTCTGGTATGATTTGTTTAACCAATTTAACCCATCTAGTAAGCTTTTTCAAAAAATACATTTTGACATAAGTTCCTCATTAAAATTATTGGAAAGATTATTAATATTCTTTGGAAATTTAAGATCTAATGAAGCATTTGAGAAGTTTATACTTGAGGCAATAGAACTAGTAAAAGAAATAGATGTAGAACCTGTTATTGAACATTCCCAGGGTAGAATTCTGGTACGACGTGTTCGAAGAAATTACAGTTATGAGAATGTGGATGAACCGATAAATGACTCAAAACTACATTTGAAAGTTTATTTTTTTAACTTTATTCTCGATGTTGCTATTAATTGTATTACTGAAATATTTGAACAATTAAAAGAACATAATGATATATTTTTATTTTCGTATGAAATTGAAAAATTCAAAATTATGACACGCAATGAACTTATAAAAATTGAAAAATTCAAAATTATGACACGCAATGAACTTATAAAAATATGCTGATTTACAACTCGTGTTAACGAGTGATTTCACCGATATTAATGGAATTGAAATGGCGAACGAATTAACAGTTTTGACGACAATGGTTCAATCAAATTTATCTCCCATTGAACTATTAAAATTTGTGATAAATACAGGAGATTTTGCTCCAAATGTATTGCATTGCGTATACTATTAACACTACCAGTAACGGTCGCCAGTGGAGAACTTAGTTTTTCTAAACTCACACCTATTAAAACATATTTAAGGTCAACCATGGTTTAAGATAGATAAAGTGGATTAATTATGATAGCAATTGAACAATAATTGGCAGAAAAACTAAATGACGTTGACATGGTAAAATATTTTGCTAATGCAAAATTAAAAAATTGCAGTTTCAATAGATAACTTATCTTTATGTACTTATTATGTAGGTACCATGTCTATAACTTTGTTTAGTATCATATACATTTTAAATATCTATTGATTATGAAAATATTTGTATTTATTAATGAAGAACTGGATTTATTTTAATTTAGATTAGTGTTTTTTTTTTCAATAGAAAGCATGTTTATTGATTATTAATTTATTTGTATGCAAATGTAGGTATACGTATTATTATTTAATGGACGGAAATTTTTTAAATCGCACTGGGTGACAAAATACCTAAGGCTAGCCCTGTTTGTTCTCCAAACGATTAACAATTATGTAGCAAACATGCACGTTTGAAACAATTATTTCGAGTGTTTATGATTACGAACGAGGCTCGTAATATGTATAATGAAATGCCTCCAGTTACCAAAAGTCCGCCGGTTTTAGTTATACGTTCAAGCTGTGGCGTAGATATAATTTTTTTCTGGGGGGAGTATTTAAGAGTCAATTCATAATATTCTTTGCATATCTTAATACGAGGACCTATATAATAATATTACATTTAAAATGGTATTATTATTATGTCCCGTATTTAATGAAAATTATTTTGTTACTCAATTTTTAATATATACGTAATTTTAGTAAAATGAAAATATAATTTTACTATAATATATAAATATTAATAAATAATAATTAAATATAATGTAAAAAAAATATCTGGGGGGGGGGGGGGGAAACCTTTTACATCCCTCCCATAGTAACTACGCCACTGCGTTTAAGTCGCTTAAGATTGCCAAAGTAATTCTTGCACTGAGCGCTGAAAGATCTAAAGCCGGCCTGTGTGTACCTACTGTACTGTACTGTACCTACATAAGACTACTATGAAGATGTTTTTCAGGAAGCCAGTTTAAGCAAGACAACTGACAAGAAATTAAATATATTTATTACATTTTAAATTTACAACCCACATTAAAATAAATAATTTGTTAATAGCTTTCAGATTTATATCAGACATAAGTATATTTTTAGTTTAAAAAATAATTACGGATTTATAATTATAATGTGAAATTTGATAAATAAAAAAAAAAACTATTACCAAAAATTATTACTAACATTGTACTAAAAATTATAATCATATGAAAGTGAGGTAGAGGGACCCTGCATCATATCGTTGTACGTTAAAAAACGTGTAGTACGAATTTGTACGAAAAACAGGAGCTGATTTAAACATTAGTAAAATTATCGACTAACTATATTTTATTCAGAAGGACGATTGAATCCCAGAATAACCTATCCACTAAAACATTTAGAACAGAGTCGCACAAAAGGTTTTCTGGTCTGTAAAATAAAAACACTAAATGAGTAAATAATAGAAAAAAAAAAAATAAGCAATGCAATAGGATCCATATTTTCGTTTTTAAAAAAGTGGGTTATTGTCATTGACCATAAGCCCTTGATACTTGAGTTCGATTCCGCTTGGCAGAAAACAATTTTAAACAAAAATGTTGGATATACAATTTTTTTTTTGTACACTTTTAAATTCTAAATTAATAAAATACATGCAATTTTTATATGTTAATAATGAATTGTAATAATTTAGTTGGGTTATACTCTAGGTATACTCCGAATATAATCATATAATATACAATACATGTATTAAATTTCTAAAATAATACAGTAACAGTTTTTTTTTTTTGGTGACAACTCTTTTAAAAAAAATTTACAACATATAATAATCATATCACCATAGTGCCGTAGTAAATAAAGTTCCTATATGAATTATTTTTAAATTTTATTTTGCGGTAAGTTTCGTACCTTATGCTGAATCCTCACTATTTTTTCTATTATATATAAACTATTTAGATATTTCCCTGTTCATGATGGGAAAGTTGAGTGTGTTTTGTTTGGTTTCCTTGACACACGTGGACACGGAATTAGAAATATGTATTTTTGTTACCTACACTATTTAATTGTAGGTATAATAAATGTACAATATAAAATCTGTTGAATAGTACCTATATATGGCTATATATTATAAATATTTATGATGTAGGCATAATTGATTTACGATAAAATGAACAATATTCATTAAGTATATAGGTAGAACTTGTCAAGGTAAAACCTAAAATAAAAATAAATGAACATCATTGTATTGTATTATATTCATAAAAACATCATTGTTTTTAGAATTATTTTAGATTATTTACAATATGTATTTTGTCTGATATATTTGAGAAAGGCGAAGGAGAAGAAAAATTATATGATATTACTTTAGTTTTGTTAGACAATGGTAGTATTTCGTACCTACCTATCTAAGAGAGAATGTTTGTCTATTGATAAGATTTATAACAATTATTTATCTTGCACTCGAAATTCTTACTTAGTTCTACGCGTTACACGAGTTATATCTATTCATGGTTTCAAATCCAACAAGTATTGTTTGTAGTTATATTTTATTCAATATGATGTTAGTGTATAATATATTATTTTACCATTGGTTTCAAAATAAATAATAATTGTTCTAAGTTAATGTAATATAATTAAGAAACAAATAATACATTTACAATAAATTGCCTTTTTCCAGGTCGTTTAAAAACGTTGTGATATATATTTCAATTATCATTGCTACGTGTGCAATCAGCAGTGAATGTTTTATATGTGATACTTGCGTGTGTCAAAATTCCATAATCAACTGTACGGAGAACGGATTGATTAATATTTTAGATCTATGGGAACACACAGAAACCTTAAAGGATACAACTCTTATGCATTTCGATTATAATGGCATTACTCATGTTAAAAAGTTACCATCATCTAAAGTTAAATGCTTAACCCTCCGACACAACCAGATAAGCAGTATAGAGGATTTAGCTTTTATAAACTTAATATACTTAAAAGAACTCGATCTTAGCTACAATTATTTGACCACAGATGACCTGAATCAAAACACATTCAAAGTAGGTGTTATTTGTTAAACATTATTATTTTAGGAAAATTATGCATTTGACTAAATGTAAACAATGAAAAAAATCGCGTTTGATATTGCAGATTAGTCGCGGAGATTCTAAAGTTTCTATACGACCAACTGGTCTGCTTATTTTACGTCTAGATAACAATAATCTTCATTCACTTACTTCACGGGTTTTCGAAGAAATGGAATATCTAGTTTCCTTATCTCTAGCAGGGAATCCATTGATAACTATTGATCGATCGACCGGTCTTGCGTTGAGTTCATTGCCCATGTTGAGAGTATAAAATTACAAAAATAATTAATAATTTATAAATTAATTTTAAATTAATTTTCATTTAGGTTTTAAATTTAGCCAACACATCCATATGTGAGTTACCCGATCATTTTCTACATACTCCTAGGTTTTTAGCAACAATAAATTTGTCAAAAAATAAATTCACACAAATTCCACAAGGACTAAGCGAAGTACACGCGTTACAGAGATTGGACTTGAGCTATAATCCTATAGTTAGTATCTTGTAAGTCAGTTTATATCTATTATGTTAACATTTTAATAATACGCGTATGTGTTCAACATTTATAATTATATTTTATGGTCCAGAAATTTCCCAAAAATGCCATCACTAAAAATACTTCATTTGTCATACATGCCGGAACTAAACGCTATTGGAACACGTGCTTTCAGTAATCTTCGTAACCTCGAGGAATTTCATTGCATGCATAATTATAAACTCGAATCAATAGATCCGAATGCGTTCAGCTATAAATCGAGCGATGGATCAGAAGTTGAATTATGGCCGAACATAATTAAAGTACGTATTATATCATTCAAAACTATTGATAAAATTACGTACTTTTATTACAGAATTTAATAATAATTTATTTCGTTACAGTTAGACTTAAGCTACAATGCTTTAAGATACTTAGATAGTAATTTATTGAGTAGATGGGATACATTAGAAGAATTGAATTTGCAAGGTAACAAATGGGAATGTGACTGTTTAAACCAATGGTTTGTGAACACTTTAGCTCCAATGCTGGAGTCTAAACATTCGGAATTTCTAATAGATTTTACGTAATTATTTTTCATCTAATATTGATACTTTAAATATAATACATTTTAGTGAGGTTATATTTTTTGAACTTCAGTTGCCGAGAGCCGACTGAAATGAATGGAAAATCTATTCTGGACTTGCACCACCTTCATTACGAAATGCGTTGTTTAGATTATTATAACCATCATCCTGAAACGGACGGAGTTTTGTTGGTCGGAATATTGATTGGTGTTCTGTTAGCAGTTCCGTTTACAATGGGATGTATGATGTACTGTGCAAAAAGAAAAAATTCACTTTCATATTACCACAGAATTTTCAATCAATATAAAGCACCTTACTCCCATGAATTTCAACTAAGGTAATTTTTTTTTTTAATAAGTTTAAAGTATGTATTATGATACGTAAGCGAGTTTTGTTGAACACTATTATAATCTTGTTAAGTTCACGTTTTCACAAGGCAGAGAAATATTTAATTACATTTGATATTTTGTGAAAGCAATAATTAATTTTTTTTTCCGCAAGCAAATTTGGACGGACCGTAATATTTCTACTCGAACCTTGGCATGCTCATGGATGAGGGGGTGGTTTATTAGTGGAATGTATCATTACATGACCTCTTTGGAGAAATATAAATTATTCCTGTCATTGTAAAACAATTAAGGAAAATTGATATAATTTTGTAAATGTGTTGATTAAAATATAATTGTTTTTCATTTACGAGACATAGTTAATAATATTAATTGACATTTGATGTAAATTATATTGTTATTTTGATAGTGTCGCGGTGTGATATTCACTACTTACTTTTTTAATTAATCTGTATATTATCTCTTTATTCTAATTAGAGATCATGAAGACACCATTGTATTTTAATAAAGATTCACGTTCATGATTGTGGAAATAGTTCCGAGTATAAAGTACATGTTTGTACTCAGGTTTGAGTTCAGATATTTTTTGAAAACTATATTGAACTCCATCCTGGTGATAAATGCATATAGTTTCATTTTGGTAAAAATATGTACAATTTAATTTACACCGTGTACATTACACATTATATATTGAGTATAGGGATAAAATGTAACATACATGTTATATTAATAACTATACATAATAATAATCCACGAATAGGTTAAAGTTAATAGGTTTAAGTTAAGCCGTTACACCTGAGCGTATTTAAAATGTTAATAAATAAAATATCTTATTAAACAATTTATAGTTACCTACCTAATACAATTTTATTCGAGGACTGTTTTATCGAATAAAATTTAATTTAAATTAAATAAATATTGAAAAGTAAAATCAGTAATCCAAAATTATATTAACTTTTAAGGCGGGAATAAAAACGTAACATATCATTACGTTCATTTAAAATTTTATTTATAAAATTTTAATAAAAACCATGATTAAAATAAGTTTATTGTTTTGCAAAAAGCGATTTAATAGTAGAAAAATAATAATGTACTATAAGTTTGATACGTATATTTTAGAAGAAGGGAGATAGTAATCGAAGATACTAGTCCTCTCATAATATTTTAACTAAACGAATTATCACAATACGTTATATATAATATATATATAATATATTTACAAATATAGGCTCTGTATTCTAATAAATATGAATATATGAATCTATTAAAATCCCCGCTTATATTCATATATATATATATATATAAGAATATAAGAATATATATATTATACAATATATATAACATATATAGGAAACATATTACAATGTTGATGGGAAATGCAACACAAGATATTCCAGATCTCCGGGTGTTATTGTGTTAGACATAAGTTATAAATGAAAGTATGTGCTCGTATAACATAAATTCCAACGCGTTGGTATTACCTATTACCTGGTTTAAGAGTCATGAACTCATGACTATTATTATTTGTTATACTTTACGTATACCCCTTTCCGAAAAAAATGTATTTATATATTAATCATTTACTTCTATTGCATATCACATACCACATGCTCCTCCAAAAATTTACGTTATTCTTCCGGAATAGAAGGTCTCTAATAATCACTGTTGGCAGTTATCAGTGTCCTCAGCTGAATGTTTATCTTTGACTAACATCATGAGTGTACATATTTTAAGGACAAAATTTTGTGAGTGGAGGGCCCACACAATTAACAAATAAAAGTGCAGAAAGGACGATATAATTCCATTAATTGATCTGAAATTGTATTCGCACTTATAGAAATAGGAATAGCAGCTATGGTTTTAAAAATTATTTTTAAGTCCTCTGAAACAGCCTGTTCTACTTTTAATTTGTATATTCGAAAATCTCAAACAATATAATTTTCTTAATTTAATTGAAAATGGCAACACTAATAAGTTATTTTATTGCTTTTTCAGTTATTCCAGCTGTGGAATTTTAATACATATGTGTATATTTATTATACTACAGTAATAAAAAAAAAAAAAATAATTAATAACAAATGTGAAAACCCAGAATACGGACTAAATGGTTGTATTAGATTATTATTGTTTTCGGCTTAATTGTTAAATTTATTAAACGTATAGATTATCAATCTACAGATAGTTAGATCATTGACAAAATTTCCCATTAATCTTCATAGCATTTTAATAGTTAATAAATTACTCTTGTTTACATTATATCTAACAACTTTATGTGCATTGTACATGTATGATCCATTATAAATTATAAATGTTAAAATATTAACGAAAATAAATTGATTAGTTATCAAATGTTATAGGTAATACGGATATATTATATGACTTCAACTTGCCATTGATTTATTAATAATAGATAGCAAATATTGAATACATTTTTTTTTTTAATTGCATAATGAAATTACCTATTACTTGGTTTTTATTTAAATTTTCCTGTATAATACTATTTTAATAATCAAAATATTATAGTCTAAAATTTAATAAATATCGATAATAATAATTTAGCCACCATCATTAACTAAAAATAATAATCTAGTATATATTTCAGTTAATATTGAATCATTTTTAACTTATATAAATATAATTATGTATATTTTGTGAAAAATATGGTTCAAGAAACTTTTGTAAATGCAGTAATATATCAAGGGTGGATCCAGCATCTATTTACGGTTTGGGCAATTTATATGAGAAAATATATAATATAGTTGATCTTTGGCGTATGTAGGGGTGTATTGGAATGAATCCCAAAAAAATAATGTTACACTAATAAACATTATTTTTAATTCTATTTTTTTTTTCCAACGGGTGACACTTGCTCCCAGTGCTCCTTTCTTAATCCGCCTATGTAATATATTTTAAACTAAACGAAAGGTGTGGGATACCTAAATACAAATATAAATTATCAAAGGGGTAGTAGACAACTATTTATAATTTAATACTTAATTATTTATTTAATTATATTTTAAGTTCAATTTGAAACTTGAATGTTTTAGGGAATCATCGATTTATCAGCCAACATCAATTATTGCAGACGGATACCAATGTGAAAACAGATAACAAGTACGTAGCAGAAAAATGTCAAAGCAATAGATTAATTTATAGAATTTTAATGTCTATTTATTTTTATTACGAAATATATTTACTAGATATATTTTATGTTGTTTAATTAGTTATTATTATAAATTATGTATATTTAAATATTTAATATGAATTAATCAATCATAAATAAATGATATAAGTTACATATTTGTATACTAACAAAACTAATTAATTTTTTTTAAATATGTGTGTAAAAAATATATTTGTTTGTTTAGACTGCTATATAGGTATGTCGTCTTGTAATTGTTTTTATTAAATTATTTATACTACATGAAAATGCATTTATTTTGTCAAAAATTATTTCAATACTAAATGTAGATGGACAAAAATATATTTGCATAGTACTACTCAGAACGGCAGAATACTTCTGGATGATCATGAGTACATTAGAGTCAAAAATGTCCTACACTAATACTCATAGATCATTCGAATGTTTATAGTGTAAATGATTATTTGAGATCAGTCGGAGTAACTTAGAACCCCTGTTTACCAAGTAAATTAAATACAAGTAAAAATATATTCCAAAAGTATTTCAATTAAATTATTAACTTTGGAAAGCTTGGAACGTGATATAACTAAATGTATAGATAATTACAATGTTATTTTAGTACACTTCATATACTCGACTCTTTCAAACAATCGGTAGTATAGCAACAGGGTCGACGGAAGGCATGTGCGAACTGTGCATTCGCACAGGGTGGCATATTAAAGGGGCAAAAATATAGCCGAGGTTATTTTCAATACTTATAGTTTTTATGACTTTAAATTTAAAATTGTTCACTGCTGTATAAACAGACAAATAGAAAATATCAAAGATTTCGCAAATGACAAGGCAGAAAAGTTTTTCAATAGTTAAAATCACTATTTTTATAATACTAATAAAAATTATATGAATACACTATAATATATATAATATAATATTATATAATAATAAATAATAACTTTTAACTTATTTATAACTTATATATAATATAAGTAACTTAAATGTTTATTTTTTAATATAATTACGCCATACGAATAAATAATAATATAATTATGAACATTTAACTGAGATATACTTATCCACATAATACATATTATTTTTGCACTAAACATACAAAAAACAAAACAAATCATGGGTCATACTCATGTGTATTATAATTTTTTTAATTATTTTCCATTAATTATTTAAATTATTTCTATGTCATCTCATAAATAATAATATATTACAACTTGTCAAATTACATAAGATCTAAATATTTATATAATTGTTGTGAAATCCCTAAATTACTTATGCATAAATAAGAAATAGCTGTATTGGGCGACATTTTAATAAATTGGCACGGGGGAGGGGGCAAATTTATAATATCGGCCCTATATAGCAATTTGTTAATATGAAAATTGTTATTAGTTGATAAAAGTTGTCATATCTGATCAATAAGCAAAGAAATATAATAATTGTACAACCGTAATACTTCACAATTGACAATAAATTACATAATATTATAAAGTAAAAAGTGTTTCGTTCGGTGTTAGTTTTTTTGTTGTACTTATTTAGTAATTTCAAATAGAAAAACATGAAATAATTTTCTAAATAAAGCGTTTTCCTAAAATATTTAAATAGTTAGTTAATGACTATAGCAGGTGAATAATAGGTATCGATTTAAATATAGCGTTAATGACCAAGCTATTAAGTATTAAGAAAACTAATATAAAATAAAAATAATATTTACCAATTTAATCGACTTCCCTTCTTTCGTGTTTAAAATAATCTATTAACAAATAAAATATTTAGTAAATTGTATAAATTAGTCTTAGTATACTTATAGTGTTCTACATTTATACATCGGTTCCTTAGGTTTCATTTAAAAATGCAGTCGATTTTTTGTTTAATTTTTTGTCTTGTTTATTCTTTAATACGTGAGACTGGATCAACATTATCATTTGAACCTCAACCATGGGATGCCGATGGAATTGATAAGCGAGAGGCTATTGATCTTAAGTATGATTTCATAGTGGTTGGTGCAGGCAGTGCAGGAACAGTTTTGGCAAACAGATTATCAGAAGTAATTTTAAATTTAGAAGTAACAAAAATTCCGCTACATTTTGGTTTTTATTTAAAAAAATGGTTTGGGATTAAAAATAAATAAAAAAATAATTATGTTTGGAACGGGTTAGGACTGAATCACCTACATCTTTACGACGCGAACAACTTATGTGAACAATTATTTAAAATGATTATTAGCTGTAGAAAACATATTATGTAAGACGCAACGAAATAGTTCTCAGTCTATAAAATATAATATATCTATAATGTAACGTTTGTATACAACATATATTATATTGTATATATGTGTATATACTATAATATAATATTGTCAGTGGAGTATAAATACTATTTACAGAGGTAATTATACTTATAATTTTAACCCATTGTAGTTAAACATGTTTGATTTTACATTAGCTTACTAAAATAATATATAATTACCATAACAAATGTACCTACATAAATGTAAATAAATAAATGTAAATGTAATCTTATAAATGTAAGAAAAATTTTACAATTTAATACATTAGTATTAATCCTGACCATGTGATGATTATTTTTTTTTCGGGTACTACGTATATATTTTTTAAGAATTGAATTAATATGATTAAATGGATGAGCCAAATTACAATTGTTGTTATTGTGGAAATATAAAATAAAAATATATAGCATAAATGTTGTGAGAGGTATACAATATAGATTTAAGTTATTAAATTACTAAGATTTATAAAAAAGTTAATTTTGATAACAGGTTTGGACAGTAAATATAGCCATTGAATATAAATTGTAAATAAAAAATATATCCTGTTATATTCTCCGAACATGTAGATTGTCAAGTTTTAAATAAAACAATAAAATGTTATGTGATGTTTGAGGCAGACGTTGAATATTACATTTATAACTTACGAAAAGAACTTACTAAGAAAAAGATTTTGAATAGCTTCAAGAGACTGAATTGTGCCAAAAGTGTAAGGAAACCAAATTAGTGAATTATAGTCTAAAACTGATCGCAAGGTGCAGTAGAGTGACTTGTGACTTATGGGCTAGTAGATAAACAAAATTATTACAACTCTGATTTATAAAGCCTAGCAATGAGGATGTTCTATTTTGAATATATGTATAATGATCATTGAATGAAAGATTTTCTTCTTGTCTGGAAAGACATCAGCATTAAAATTACTTATGATTTATGATTTAATTTAATTTAAAACTCATTATTTATGGGTCATAAATTAAAGCTAGTTTTTTTTTTTATGTAAAAGAACATTTTTACTTATTAATATTTTAGATTTTTTTTTAAAAAAAAAAATAATAAATATGTTTAAGTATGTTATGTAATATAATCCAAAAAATAAATTCAGACAAATCGATTTATTAAATCATATACATTTCTTATAGACGTAATTTGATTCATTAAATTTAACTAACTATTAAGTAGTACTCACTACTTAATCTATACGTAATAGAACACAATACTTTCTAATCCCTATTTATAAACGTCACTTAAGAAAATTAAGTACTTTTAGTTAATTTACAAAAAAAATAATCATAATTCTACTTTGAATTAAAGTCTATCTAAATAAGAAATTGACAAAACACATAATGAAAGAATGATTGAAATAACACTAAATTTGTCTTTATAAATTATAGGGTGTAAAAATACTACCATATTGGTTTAAATAATTAATAATTTATAATTTTAATAAATAAGTAATATTATTGAAGATGTTATACAACTTCGATGGTAAATGTTTTATTTATCAGTTGTATTTTATGGTGGGTGCCTATACTTATTATACTGACCAGTGGCATTTAGAAGGGGGGATTTGGCAGTGAAAGGCTTATAAGTGTATCACCTCTAAGAATATGTTTTTTGTTGTTTTTGAGAATATACCTATTTTATAATTTACATAAGAAATAAAAATACATTGGGCTGAAAGTTTTAAATTATTTAAAGCAAACGTATATGCTTGTCTTATGTTTGTATTTATTTTTAGTTTTGAATTAGTTAATTTTTCGAGTATTTAGTTACATATTATTCTGTTTTGAATTTTTTTTTTTTTGAATCGTTCATTGAGAAAATGATAAACATTGAAAGAACTATTGTTTACTAAGGTTTAGTAATATACAAGAAATGTTGTACTGTCTGTTCATGACATGATGTGTTTTAATAATATGTAAATAATTATTAGTTTAATTTGTTACTTTATCAAGATATTGCAAAAACAATTGGAGTATTTGGAATAGTTAATAGAATTTCTTTACATGAAATATTTGAAGAATTCACAATTATCAAGACTGCTATACCAACTGTTAGCTAAAAAAAAATTAACTGTGTACGAAAAATGGTTAAAACTTATATCAATTCAGAAATTAAAAAAATATTAGAATATTATTAGAATTTATTCTAAGTATACCATCTAATTCTCGTGTAGAGAGAGTTTCGATGATGAAACTAAAATGGATGGATGTTAGAAATCGTTGAACAGTAGACTTGAAAAAAAATGAATAAATGATAACATTAAAACATTAAATATATCGCATATATTCTACAAATAGTTATAGTACTGACTTCGTGAATTTAGTGAAATATGATACAGCTTTTTTGAACTCCGTGAAGAATCAGAAAAAAGTACAATTGGAAAAATGAATAATTTAGAATTGATAATTAATAATACTTTTTTTTTAATTTAAAATTCCGTCTAAAATATTATAGTATTACTATTGGTTTTATTAAACATATTTATTACACAATTTATAATAATAATGTATATACATATAGAGAACAAATATATCTGTGTTATGTACTTATAAACAAGGCCGGTGCTAAGTAATTTACCAATCTATGCAAATAACAAAATACCGCCTCTTTCAATAAATGATTGTTCTATAATTAGTACATATTTATTTATACAAAATTAACAAAATTAATTACAAACTAAATTATATTTTAGGAGATCAAACTATAAAATTTCGTCTTCCAAAAATTAACAAAATTAACAAAATTAATTACA